ACTTAACTTAGAGCTTATTTAGGGTCTAATATATAACTAGGCCTTCCCTTTATAACGACTCTATATATAGAGCTTATAGTACACTAGTAATAGGTAGTAATTAGTATTTACTTCGAGTTTCTATCGGATAATAATTTCCTACACTTTAAATCGGACTTCTTTACTATCGCTAAGTATCGGAGTATTAGGTATCTTCGTAGACTTCTAGGTAGTAGCGGCCTCTATAATCGGCGCGCTAACACTAGTCTAGTTCTAGAGATTTATAAGGCGAAAAGTAAGATTACCGCGTTTATAGATAGCGATATCTCGGTAGGTAATCGCCTTATCTCGCTCCTAAGTAAGCGCCTTAATAATTATCTTAGCCTTAATTTTGTTAGAATATAGGATAGCTAACTTATCCTCTAACTCCTAGACTCTCTTTCTTAAGTTCTAGTATTTATAGGCGAGTTTATAAAATCGTTTATAAGTTAGAGTCTTCTATAGTTACTTATAAATAGAGGAGCCTTCTCTATTATTATTATCTTCCTTATATTCACTAGTATTAACTAGTCTCTACGGTTTAGGGATTAGGGTATTTAGGTTATAAGTAACTATCTCTTACTTATTACTATCTTCTTTATTAGGTATAGCGATAGGCTACTTACTATAACTAGTAGCTAGGTTTCGCTTCGATCTAGCTATTCTAATTAGTCGGATATTAGGTTTAGGTTTAGGTTTCGGTTCGGATTAGGTCTTAGCTATATAATACTAAGGAACGAAAGTAGGGTAAAGCGGGACCGAGACTAATTACAATAATAGTCTATATAGTTATACTACTTTGTTAGAATAAGAGTGGTACTTAGTATTATATTACTAGCTAGTTCTTTAAACAAAAGAGTGTATTTCAATAAGAATACTAAGTATAGAGAGAGAAGGAAAAGGAAGAAGGAAAACTTTAGGACCAGATCCTTTGTATAGCCCTATTACCACTAAGTATACAAACAATACAAACTCTATTAAGGCGGAAAGATTCGGCAGAATCCTTTCAGCGGAAATCTTTTCGGCAGAAAAAGATCCACCTTCCAGATCGTCACACCCTTAAGCTCTCTAAATCGCTTAATTCCTTAATACTCTATCGAGAGTTAACTTACTACGCTATATACTTAGCTACCCTAGGATAAATTCCCTACGTCGGTCACTATATAAAGAGGGGAACGCTTAAGGCTATATACTCTAAGGTATATAGGTCGATTTAGTATCTGTAGTTTAGTTTTATACTCAATTTTGTATATAAAGGAACCTAGGCCTATGGCCTAAGAAGTTAATCTAGAGAGGTATAGGGGTGTGTTTTCTTTAATCTATCTCTCCTAACTACTTATACCCTCCAGCGCTCCTAGATTACCTAATCAAACACTCAGTAAACGACAGGACAGGTGAGGTCAATACGTAGTGGGAGATAGGGTCCCCCACTATAATACCTAGAACTATCTTCTAGTAAGATAATACCTATATATATACTATAGGTATTATAGGAGAGTGGTTTAAATAATATAGGGTATATATTAAGGATTAGCCTCTATATTCACCTGATCTTAGCCCTATTAAGCCTTACTAGTAGATACTAAAGGTTAAATTATTAAATATATACCCTAAATTGATAGAAATAGGTAGGAGTGTAGAGGATTAGATATATTTTAAGAGAGCTATATACACTATATAGGATACACTTAATTAGGGTATAATTAATAATTTAATTCGCTCTATACCTAGGAGATTGCTTACTACGCGTAAAGTAAAGGGGTATTATACTAAATATTAAATTTATTAAATTTATTGGCTATTTCTCTATCTATTGATATTAAAATTAATATATATTTACTATATTAGTGGTATAAAATATATAGTTAAATATAGTGATATATATTTGATAGGGTGTGGGTAAAAACTGACTGTTATAGGACTTTTGGTCATAGAGTGTATATTTTAACTAAATAGGATTAGGATAAGAAATTAGAGATATAATAGGAAGATAGTTATAGTATAGAATTATAATTATAAACCCCCCTTAAGTATAAATTCTTAATAAAGATAAAAATAGAGAGCCTTTATTTATAAAGGAGCTAGCCTCGAAAATCCTATTAGAATCGGGGTCTACTAGATAAAGAAAGTATACTACTTTAATAATTCTATTTTAGGCGTAGATAGGGATATCTATATAGGAGAGGGAGGATAATTATAAAGGATAAAGGTCCTTTTAATTCTAATACTTAGTTATTTACCTAAGTACGTTATTTATATCCCGGGGTTAAAGCGGGGTTGATTCGTAATCGGCTTGGCACTCGGTTCGAGTAGATACGGGGTCCTATACCTAAGTATAAGAACCCCTAGATCCTTAGGATCCTGTTCCCTCCTGTAAGAGTTAGTCTTGTAACTTAAGACAATATATTGATCCTTTCTCTCCCAATCATTAAGCCTTGTATCTTACCCAGTTGACAGGCCTTACACCTGATAATCGTATACTCTTATATAGAGTTTCGTCTCTGAAATATATCTCTCTGCCCCTTTACCCCCAATCTAGTTCGCTTAACATAGATTGCCAATATAGACTCCTATACCTTTCTGATCTCTCTTCTTAGACAAAAATATTTCTATATGTACACAATAGTGGGTGTGGATGCGGTGTTGGGAGTGCTAACTAAAGCAACCTATATACGTAAGTGTATACTAGTACCTAGAGCATTGCTTATTTCACTAGATACTCAGTGCTTACGATGCTCATGACGCCTAGGTATACGAAGTACAGTGAATTTGTTTGGCTATCTATAATTACTTGATTGTTAGTCACAACCTAGATACTTCTTGTTGTATACCGCCGATGAATATTGCTCGTTGACATTATGAATTGATGACTGCTAGTAAAGTAGAAAGAGCTAAAAAATATATATATAGTCAGAAGAACAAAAGAAATAAATGTCTCTAGTATGTGGACAAAATCGAAGAGGACACGATGGAACCTGGCTTTAGTCCTATTCTACACACGCAAGAACCCAGCACGCTTTAAAGATTGAAGCTTTCAAAAAAATTAGGGAGGCCAACGAATTTAGTAATCTCGCTCCGAGTTTCAAATATCTTCCTCGCGTCGAAATGTGCGTCATTTGAATATGAGCATATCAATATGAGCCTTCTAGGAGCTTAGATGGCGAGGAACCAATCAGAACTGCCGCGCCGCGTTATCGACTCTGCCTAAAGGGAACTTCTTTATAAAAACAACCAACCCCCAATCCCCATATCCCTATATTCCTTGAACAGCTCAATCTTGTATAGCGAAAAGCAAACAATTTCAGAGGTGTCACACAATACACGGGCTTCCCCCCGCCCCAATTCCTCAAAAAAAACAGCTCCCAAGGCTTTTGAGCCATCCATCCCCCACCATGTCGACCTACGAAAGTACGAACTCCCAGCCCTCAAATAAAATCAGAATCTCCATAACTAACACCATACCAGTTGAACACAACACCACCGATCCCTCAACGGCCCCAACCCCTCGCCGCCGCCGCCCCGACCTCTCCACCTTCTTCTCAACCCTGTCCCAGATCACCCCAGCTCCCGACCACAGACCCCATGCAGTCCCCGTCCCAGGAGATGTGAGCGCAGCATTCTTCTCCCTTGCAGAGGCGCTGGACATGATGCGCCGTGAGGCCGACTCAGCACCGCAAGCCGACGCGCAGGAGGGAACCGATAACGCCAACTCAGATACCGGCCGTGATCTTCTCACCACGATGATCCAGTCATTGCTCGCGCAGGCAGATACGCCACCACGGGAGGTGGAGGGTGTAAATGAAGAATTCTGCGATAGTAAGTGGCATTCCCCTGGCTCGCCTTGTCATCAACTTCACCCCGCAATCGGCGGGGTATTTCTTGACCGTTAGCTAACCATATCTGGGTCTCGCTAGTGCTCGAACGCGTCCCTAAAGCATCCCTTAGACCCGCTGATACATGTCCTATCTGCAACAACCCCTTCGTGGAAGATCCGTATCCGCTCGTCGTTCAGCTGCCCTGCCACCCGACACACCGCTTCGATTTGGAGTGTGTGCGACCCTGGTTGCGCCTGCGTGGGACGTGTCCGCTTGACCGTGTGGATTTTGCGAAGCAATTGAGAGAAAAGGAGGAGGCGAAGAAGAAGCTTGTTGAGGAAGATGAAGAGGAGGAATGGGATGGCATGTATGGCTGAACGGATTGAGAGACTATGCATACATGTGCATTTTAAACTGTCTGTTGTCATGGATATTACATGGCAGTGGTTCATATTCTTAGCATGAGTGAATGACTGTTGCATTTGCATCTATCGATCATGTACATTCTAATGAAATGGATATTCAATGTAGGCTTACTGGTCAGCATATCTTGAACCCGAACAAGAATATCAAGCTTTCGACCGGCCTTTCATGTGAAAAGACGTAAAGATGCCATAGAGGACATTAATGGTGTCTGGGTGTGTGATCTAGGCTTTTGAGATTCCACTGCATGCCCTCGATGATATCCGCGAGTCCTTCCCTCGTTGGCTTTCATACTCTAATTATCGAACTTCCTTTAAAGATCTTTGTTCTCTCTTTGATCTCAGTTCCATTCATGTCTTTGTCTATATATCTGGTGACCTTAACAAAGAGTATACAATTTCATTGTGAAGTTACAGTCTTTGTCGAGGATCTTACCGTAACTCATATATAAATATCAAGTCCCCAAGTCCTAACTGATATAATTTCTCATTCCACATCACATCCTCTTTACAACCTTACAACTCATACAACCCTTCTCTATACTTGAACCGAGTCACAGACAGTGGCTTCTCCGGAGTATCACACAACATTAGGGTATTTCATTCTCCCATTCTTCACTATGCAATTCACTCGCTTACTCCTCAGCAAACTAGGTATCTCCACGTTCATATACCTCCACCACTTACTTCTCACAACCGAGACACCTACTCACCCGTGAGTATCCCACCCCATCCAACCCCTACAATGTCTCCCTCACCCCTGGAGACCTTCGCAATTATTTTCTTTTTTCTTGTACTGGGACTGACCATCATGATAATCATGATTCTTGTCAAGGAGTGGACCGAGTACCAAGCTATGCAGTTTTGGCCGAAATTGCGTAGTACTCACACTCTCGATCTGGAGTCGGGCCTTTACTCACTCAGAGACGAGTTAGTAAAGGACATACAGGAACTGACATGGCGCCTTGAGCAGATGGAAGCAGACATTGGTCGCGGGATCCAGCTTGCTGAATACCTCTCCGAATACCATGATGAACCCCCACTGCCTTGACCGCTTGATAATGTCAGTATGCCTTCCGATAAGAGACGCAAGACACAAAGACCGGATATCTGGATGCCTCCTATGCGTAGGGATAGTGCATGAGATTTCGGCCCGAGTGGGTCACCCCAGTTCTCTACCCCATACTCCCATGTCTTTCGAGGCGGCTCACCTTGATAGAACTGGAGTGGGTAGGGTCATATGAGCCAGACTGGCACTTTAGTGCAGTGCTGGCGGCTGAAGTCCTTTAGGTGAAGCCGAGTTTGGATGTGCATATGGTGGATATGGGGATATGTCTATACCAACCCATATCGACCATAGACACTGTTATTGTTTATTTTAATTTTGGAGATATCTATAAGATGTCTTGCAAAGGTGGTGGAGAGAAGGATCGTAGGTGACTTTCGAGCAGTAATCAACTCATTATCTGTAGTCCTGGTAAAAAGGTCGGATAGAGATAGCTGCCGAGATAACTTGCTAGACACTAATAGGATTAGCAACTACCTTGCTGGTCGAAGGTAGATATAGATTTGCTAATCTTGAAATCAAATGATCTTAGTCGACTAATTTCCAATATCCTGGTAGACAGTAAAGTGGTCTTGTGCCTGTAGAGCAGAATCAGGCCAGGATCTGCAGGCAGAAATATCGGATGTTCAGGCAGCACCGTTGATCCACCTTCCTCTTTTGGAATCCATAGTTCTCGGGGACCGATGGCATCTCCGGTGAGTTTTTGTACAAATCATGGACGGCGCAAAGAACAGTAACTTGGAATTTTCATTCACAGAGACTGAATCTACTCTATATGTAATATTTCAAACTTTCATCACACGTAAGGTCAAGTGTTTCATAAAATTTCCTCGGCCCGAGCCTTGGGTCGGATGGCCAACTTGCCTGCCTGGTTGATCATGGCTTCGTAGCCACTTCGCTCCAGCACACCTCCGTCATTATTGACGACCTCACGAGCCTCGAGTTCCTCAACAAGACGCTGGTTCTCACGGTTACCTTCCAGCAAGAACTTAAGACACATCACAGCATGCTCCTTGATGTATGGGTTGTGGGCGTCAAAGGCGGTGCAGCAAAGAATCGCCTCGACACCACCGTAGCGACGGATCTGCTCTTGAACATCGGGACACTTCCAGACAAGCGAGGAGAGCACAAGCACGACCAACTTCTTGAGGTTGCGCCATTCGAACTCGGAGGGATCCTCTGTGATTGGAGGAGACTCGGGTCGAGAGTCAACGCTGCCGGCGCCGGTGTCGGCAGGGTCTGGGTCGCTGGGATCGTAAGGACGTTCGACGGCGACAGGGGCAGGGGGACTGGCACTGGAAGCTTCGTTGGGGGCGTCCGTTCGGGGAGGAGGCGGAGGGGGTACGGCGCCAAAGGACAATTGGCTCAACTGGCCCTTGGGGATGCTTGCTTCCAACTCCTTGATCAATGTCACCAAATCGTAGACAATCTCCCATTTCACCAGCAGGTTCTTCCAGTCGTTGTTTTCGGTCAAGACGGCGAAGAACTCCAAAAACTGGTAGACACCTTCGTACACCCGTTCCATGTCCCATAGATTGAGCGGGAAGTCCTCCGAGAGAGCCCGCTGGGCGCGGATTTGACCTTGGAGATAGATCAGAGCACAAGTCTCGGGGATGATGTTGCCACGGAAGATGGTAAAGATGTATCGGACAGTGAGAATATCGACTCTGTTGAGTGAACTCGGGTTGCGGGGGATGTTGGGCTGAGCCGAGCCCGTCACCGAAGCAGGAGAATACTTGGCTCTGAAGATGTGGGTGAGTATCTTGATCACAACAGCCTGTGCCGGTGAAATTATGTCCTTCGGCTGGCCGAAGTCCGAGTAGGCATGAGACATTAGGCCGTTCTTGAGCACAGCCTCCATGATCTGGACCATCATCTTGAAGTAGAGCTCGTCGTCGGGGAGATCCCATGCCGCAATGAAAATTAGTAGCTCGCGCAGTAGGTTACGTCCTGTCTCCTGTGTGAGCAGAATATGACAACGGAGCGCTTGCATATTTCTGGATCCATTCCGTTCGCCGCCCTTGAGACCGAAGCTGTCCACGATACCAGCCTGAACAATCATAGGCAAAGCTTCGATTTCTGCCGGTCCAAGGACCAGAGGGATATCTGTCAAAAGACCACGCTGTTGATCACCAGGACGGCCACGATATTCATCGTCTTCCTCTTCTTCATCGTCGCCTTCTCCATCGACGCCATCGTCATCCACATCATCCTCACCATCTCCATCCACGCTTCCGTCAGCCATGTGGTCTAGGCTGTGCGAATCATCATCCCCCACTGTGTGTGTATCGCCGTGGTCATAGTCATGCTCTTCATCGCCATCAATATGGGATGGCTCCTGAAGCCGAGCCATCAGTTCGTCCTTGGCCTCTTGGAGCGTCTCGGCGGCAGATTGAGCTGACCGAGGCATACTGGTATCTTCATCCGTAACAGGTCCATCCACAGCACCAAAGTCGTTGATCTCCGGAAGATCGGCCCAGCAAAGGCGAGGGAAGCCAGCCGTAAGGCTACGATCAATAGTCAGGATGGTCTTCTTCTTAGTGACTTCGTGTTCCTCTTCTTCCTCTTCATGGTCCCTGGGGTTTCCATGCTCCTGGTCTTCGTGGTCTTCAGGCTCTTCATGCTCTTCTTCGGGAAGCGCAGCCGGGAGCTCACGAGCCCGGTCCTGAAGATCGGACCAACCGTCAACCTTGGCCCCAAGGATTGCAGTCAAAGCAGCCCTGATATCCTTGACCTGGTCTGGGTCTCTGCCCATTTCCTGAATAGCGCTGAGATCCCGCCCCAGAATTCTCTCCATGTGATCTTTAATGTTGGCCAGAAGCAGCATGGCAGCCTCTTCCTTGATAGTCGCTGGCTCCCGCGGGAACTTGGCGATAGTCTCCAATAGCAAATCCTCCGCAGTCTGGTCATAAAGCGCGCGAATAGGGGGTTGATAACACGCTCTCCAACTTGCACAATTGGTGCCACTCCTTCTCGCGAGCTGGCGTCGTCCAAAGGCTCCTTGGGCTTTATGATGTTCGTATCAGCAGTTGAATGGTAACCAAATAGATCTAACCAAAGCACCATCTTGCGATGCTCGTTGTGCATGATGAAGTTATGAAGGTACTGGAGGCACGTAATTAGAAGGCGCTTGTACAGGTTGACGACTTTCTGCCATCGTTCCTCGTTCCGCGCATTTTGCTCGCCATCGAAGGCTCGTGCGGTGACGCGAACACATGTGTCGATGAGAGCAAGTATTCTTTGGTCAAATCCTGTTTCTGCCGCGAGGTTCTGTGCCTTCTTGGTTGTGGCGAGGAGGTTGCGGGCGATTGTACACAAATCGTTCAGGCGCTCAATGTCTTTGACCAGCGAAAAATAATTGTATGCGATCAAATTGGCTGATGAGTGTTCATAGCTTGCCGCGGGGCTTTTCCACGCGAAAGATTGGGACTCGAGGACGGGAATTGCTTTGGTGAGGACGTTCGTGAGACCTTGCCAGATATCCGGTGACATACCGAGATTGTGACTAAAAGCGCGCAGCAGATTAGTATAAAAAGCATGCAAACGGTCAATGAGATATTTATCTTACCGAACATCACTCTCCTGGTGTGTCTTGTACAAGATCTGCTTCCCAGCGGCAAGCATATGCTCCAGCCGCTTGTCATCGATCATGCCCCGAACTTCGTAATGGCTCAGGGTCCCTGCAAGGATCACCTTGAGCATAAGCTCGGCTGGCGTGCATAGCGGCTTTGGATCTGCCATCTTGCAAAGAGAATCTCAACGCGAATTCCTTCGAACGATAAACAGCGCGGGGAGATCACAGTGGGATGAGAGAATCAAAGGCTCGGAGTGGAGAGACAAATTTTCCGCCCGCACTAACGTTATCGTTATCGCTCATTCGCCCTTTCTGAGCTCTCCGCCTCAAGGATGCACGTATATACTCTTTGGAAGATCGAAGCTTTAGAGGCTATTTTCATGTAGTCTGTTCATACAGCAAACATCTTTCCCGCTTTTGTTGTCTTAGTTTGAATGTCACTGTCTCCTAGTTGTGGTAGAGACTATATTCCATGTAGATATTCTAGACATTCCATGAAATCAAATTGTCATCAAGATCGATGATATATACAAAGAAGCTTAAATACCGGGTATGTCCTTAGTTCGACGCACAGATAGTCCCACCACGTCCCGAAGATTATACCAAAAGCCCATATCGTAGATGTTGTCGACGTCTCTCATAGAGCGAAGTCGCTTCCATCGAGGGTCAGGAGGTAGGTCTGATTCCGGGCGACGAGCAATGCAATTGGAGTTGGAGGCCAATAAGCATCCTTCAGTTGGAGGTTTTTCATCAGTGACAAGGATTTGATCAGTATGGACAGGCCATAGTTGATCATATGGGTCCATAGGAAGGGGGCTGCTGAAGATGAGACTTCGTCTTGTCTTGAATACAAAGCCGTCTTCCACATCCTCCTTCCAATCAGACCACTTGGCGCTCTCATTGGTTGTCACCCCAGCCCATATGAGATACATATGGTACGCCAGGAAAGATATCGCTAGCGGGGCAGTCATAAGCATTAGTAGAAATACTGCCCCAATTTTGGGGTCGGAAGCGACCACAACGCTCCATGTGTTGATCCAGGCTGTCCAGCCTTGCATGGCCTCCTGTACCTCCGGAGGAAATACTTGCTTCAGCATTTGGGAAAGTAAGGAATGACCAAGGTAGGAGCCGTATATCAACATGACAGAAAGAGAGACCAAGAGTGAGATGAAGTAGACGCAGTTGTTGGCCCCGACGCAGTTCATCAGCCATACACAGTGGTGGTCATGCCGAGAAACACAGGCCTGACAAAAGCTACAGTGCTTACTGCGCGCTGGTTTGAGGAATTTGCAGGTGCTACATCGATGCCCCGGATGAAATAGGACTCGGTCGTACGGATATCGCCTCATCTCTTCCTCATGATTCTCTGCGGTGATGAATGACTTGGTCACAATACACTTGTAAAGCAGGAGATAGGGTAAGGTGATAGCCACAGTTACCCAGAGCCGATGGATGCTCGAAAGCCGAGGCCACGCGGCCGGGACAAAGACGCCCTCTCCAATGACCAGTAAGGAAACAAAGAAAATCTAGTGTGCATGGTTAGTATCTAGACAAGTAACGAGAAGTTTTGAGGCTCACTAGGACAAGCGGGTGGTTCTCTTTCAATACATAGCTGCCAGATCGATTCCAGCCTCGTACTAACCTCCCGCCAAACAAGCAATTGTCGACAGCGGCAATTCCATTTGGAAAGTACACCCACAGTGCCCGATGCAGCCAGGCAACCGGAGTTTTACTTGAGCAGTCAGTGCAAAGCCTCAAAGAGTTGTAAATTGACAACTTCCTCACCGGAAAGCTGGCAGCCTGCCAAATAGCGCGATAAAGGTGAAACCCGAGATCGCTAGAATCACCAGACCAACGGTTCTGAGGGCCCCCATTCTGAAGCTTAAGTTCTCTCGAGAAGTTCAAAGGATATATTATTTGCTCTGCATCCTCTAGCAATACTTTTCGCAGCTCCTATCTTTCTTGACTCGTGATCAGTCAACGCGCTCTCATCGCACGTCGTGAACTTTGTGTATCCACGTGACCGCGTTTCCTGTCTCGGCGTGAACCAACCAATTCATTTATGACCCTTGTCAATTGAGACTACCGATTTCATATACAATAAAACTGAGGACTGAAAGTGAGGCGAACTAGACGACACCTATCTTGCATCACAGGCCGCTGTTTAATGTGGAAAAAGCCCCTTGCGACACGTCAGCACGTGATACCGCGTCGCAGACAAAGCCGGCCTATCTTGAGGGTGGGAAAGCTCGAATAAAAGTCGTGAAGCTTGGACTCACAAGAGCCTAAATGGCCTCGTCTCGAGCTGAGGATACGACAACAAGTCTGTTCCAGGGCGCACGCTTCTGGCTATCTCGAACAGTTCCACAAAGGTCAAGGTTTAAGGAATTAATCAAGGTACTTAGGGAGCGCGTTCTCTGGTGTGGAAAATGCAAAGATTAATGGATACCTAGCAATATGGTGGCACCGTGGTGCTGATGGAGAAGGATGCCGATGTGAAGCTTGTGGATCACGCAAGAAAAGACCTGCCTGAGGACACGTACGGAATCCTTTGCTGCCTTGAAAGCAACTTGTGTACTAATATCGAATCAGCTTCTCTTATCGATATGTAGAGCGTTCGATCAACAAGGGACGACTTGAAGATTTAGAAGCCCACCGGGTTGGGCCATCCGCACCTCGTCCGATGGGTGCATTCAACATCCCTACAAAAAGCACAAGATCATTCTTTACCCTTAAAGAGGATCAAATTTTGTTTGACTGGGTTGCACACTTTGAGAAAGAGCCAGGGGCACCTATCCAAGGCAATAGAATTTACCAGGATTTGAGTGAACTGGTATGATGCTTTCCTGTTACTCTTAAGCCTACGGGACACACACACACACACACACGCACACACACACACACACAAGTCTGATACTGACTGGTAGCACACAGTTTCCAGCCCATCCATGGCAGTCCTGGCGTAGCAGATACATGAAGCACTTGCGTGGCAAGGGCCGTCCAGGGGGCGGCACCCCAGTATCATATTCTGAGCTTTTACAGTCTGCACCACTCCAAGGAGAACGCCCGAAGACCTTACCTGCACGGAGTTCTCCAAAAGATTCCACGGCAAAACGAAGTTCAGGTGTCCCTCAGCTGGTACCATCTGCTCCGGTCCAAGCAGGTATAACAAACAGCCCAAAACGAAAACGAGATCCGGTCCCTGAACCGCCAAACCAGCGGCGGAGGGATGTTTCACCTATGAAAAGAAGAGCAATCGAAGCGTCTACAACTGCAGGCCATTCCTCACGCCGTCCCCGTCCTGATAGTCAGGTACCCCAACCAGAGTCATCAAATGCGGCACCCACACCACCCTTTACTGCACGCTCAGAAAGAGGCTCTGCCTGTGTCTCATCGTCGAGCACAAGACCGCTGCAAGGCCTTGGGATTCCAGATATCTTTCCAGTCACCAATCCTTCCGTACAAACCCCTCGGCGCGTGACTCGGGAAGCTTCACAACCACCACCAAATACAACATCACCGGCGCCGCCGGCTCCACCCCGACCATTGGGGGACAATGCCTTCGCACAGTCCGGCCGATTCAAGAAACAAGCATCCAAAACAAGACCACAAGTCAAGAATATCTTCGAAGACCCAGTGGACCCCATTTTTCTCGAACTTCCATTTTTACCATCAAGCCCAGCATCCGAGGTGGATGACGATGACGCCTCAGATGTGCCCGACGTCGATACTTGGATTGATCAACGCCTGGCTCGGGGTGCCAAGGAATCTCACGTGTTCGATGCTCTGCGATGTACAAGCATGGTCCCAGAGATGGCAGATAAGGTTCTCAGATATCTCAACGCTGGGAAGAGTATTCCCGATGATATGCCCGGAGTCTGGACAGTCGAGGATGATGACTGTTTACAGGCGAAGGAATATTCGCGTGTACACCGAGCGTTGACGAAACACGGCGCGGAAGCGTACAAGGATAGATGGGAGTATTTCAGCATGGCTCGACAGACAGGGCTCATTGAATGAGACCAATGGGATGTGGGATTCGAGAAAGCCCACGAAGGACAGCTACAATGGATGAGTTGCAATTGTGAAGTACATGAACATTAGCGTGTAGCTAGAAACGAAATACTCTCCCAAGACACCGGTATTGACCTGCCCAGAACGCAAAGAGGGAATTGGAACTCAAAACTAAACATCAGTTGAAGGGCAGCAGTGCCATGCTCAAAACGCGTTGATTGCAATAGTCAAAAAGCATTGTAGCGATGGCCACTCGCTATTGCAATTCCGAAAATGAAGAAACAGCCTAGAGATATCACTTGTGGACTATTTTTGAGTTGGTGATATATCAACTTGTCGGCGGACGGATGGATTTAATTATCCTTGAAAACACTATGAGATGTCAGGAATCCATTTCTAGCTTTCATTAGGAGGATGGCTTGAGGGGGTTTGACTCACAGGTGCGATTCATAGAATTTGAGCATCTATTGTGCCGTTTAGTATCATTGTCGCTGTTTCAAGCACGGTGGGGGAAGTCATACTTTCATTGGACACTTTTCATAGCAGGCCTGGACAGACAGTTTCGCCTTGCGTCCATTGTTGAACTCAAGCCAGGCCATGAGACCTGCATCACCCTCCCGGACAATCGTGTCCACCGTTTTAACATCCTTATCCCAGTTCTTCCCCTTGGGAACCCATTGAACGCCATTTTCTTCGGACTCGGCAGAAGGTTGCTTAGTCGTCTCCTTGGGCGCTGACTTTCGGCGCTGTCTCTTAGCTTCGCTCGCTGCGGGAGCCGGTGTGGTCGTAGCAGCCTTCGAATCACCCATAGATTTGCGCTTGCGACCTGGCTTTGCTGCCGCGGGCTTATCTTCGGGCTTCTTCGGCCGACCACCGATCTTCTTGTAGTATGATGTGACAATGTCGCGGGCTCCATCCCTACGGTGTTTGTCAATAAATGCGCGCAGCATATGTCAAAGCTGAGCGAGTGCATAGACGTACATCAGGCCTTCCTCATCTTCCCATGTGTGGTCGTCTATATCTTCATAACCCTTCCACTTCACGAAGAGCTTTAGGGTTCCCTGTAGTTGATTAGTTTCTTGGGACAATGAGGTTGAGTGTTGCGAAACATACATCATCAAGCCAGTCATGTTCAATAATATCCTCGACGACGTAGCTTCGTTCGGTTAGAGACATGTATCCATCAGTCGGGAATGCGCAACTCACAGTCCCTCTTCTTCACCCTCATCCTCCTCTTCGTCTCCTTCGTCTTCCGGGGAGTCCTGGGCATCCTTGCCATTGGTCTCTGGCGCATCTCTGAAAGGAATATCGCCGGATTCCTCGTCGGACAAATCTTCAACGGGAGCTAGGGAATGAACGGGGTCAACCGACATGCTCACCACTGCGCGCGCGACAAATCAACATTGGGAGAGAACACTCACGAGGCATGTTTCGTTTGAAGGGTGAGATAATCTTGGATAGTTTAGAAAACAGATTGGCGACTAGAGGATCAAAACCTCAATTGCAGTAATAAAGTCAGACGAAAGGCTGTCGCATTCAAAGCAATTGGAGTCGAGAAGCAGAAACGCGTTGAAGGCGGACAAGATACGCTATACCGCTTTGGGCAGTCAGAATTTCATTTGTCAAAAGTGCTCTTCGGGAAGCTCCCCCTCAAGGCTCAACTTACAAGTTCACTGCTTTGTCGTGTCACCTACTTTTGATTATCTCTCGGTCTCCTTGTGCCCTCTTTTTTAAAATCTTTATAATTTGCCAGGTGGCAACCCACCGTCAACATGGCAATGCGTAAGGCCGCACCCCCATACCCCTCATTCTTGGAAATGTGCTGTTGCTAACTATGTGGATTTTGATCTTGAACAGAGCTTGATATGTCTAATGGTGATTACTCATTCAATGCCTTGGGACAACTCAGATCCGGTCGCTGACATTAAGGGATAGCTCAGGTCTTGAAAGACGAGCAGGGACGCCCGTTTATTGTCGTTCGGGAGTACGTTCACCGCTACGCCTTATCCTCCGTTTCAAAATACCATTGAGAGTTGGAGGGTTGAGATATGGGGCTGACGGGGATTTTCATAAAATAGTCAGGGAAAAAAGAAGAGACAGCATGGCACTGAGGCCGTTAAGTCACACATTGTTGCCGCAAAGACGGTGGCCAGCATTGTCAAGTCTTCTCTGGTATGGCACTCGACAAGCGATGGATGACAACACATCTGACTCCTGGTTCTAGGGTCCCCGTGGTCTTGATAAGATTCTGATCTCCGCTGACGGCGATATCACCGTCACCAACGATGGCGCAACTATTCTCGGACAGGTTCGACCCCGAAGTCCTTCCCCCGGAGAGATTCAATTCTTGCTCGAGATACTGATATGACGGGTACGGCTAGATGGAGATCACAAACAACGTCGCGAAGCTGCTGGTCGAACTTTCGCAGTCCCAGGACGAGGAGATCGGCGATGGCACGACCGGTGTTGTGGTGCTGGCAGCGGCCATGCTTGAACAAGCCTCGGACCTCATTGACAAAGGGATTCACCCCATCCGTATAGCCGACGGATACGACCAGGCCTGCGAAATTGCCGTTGCCGAGCTCGACAGGATCAGTGATGAAATTACGTTTAGCAGCGATGATCACACCAACCTCCTCAAAGTTGCCAAGACCAGTCTGGGCAGCAAGATGTACGGACTCCTGGCTGTACATTAGTTCTGGTTGATGCTGACAATTTACGTAGTGTCTCCAAGTCTCACGATCAATTCGCCAAGATCGCCGTTGATGCCGTGCTCTCAGTTGCTGACTTCGAGCGCAAGGATGTTGACTTCGAGTTGATCAAGGTTGACGGCAAGGTCGGCGGATCCCTCGAGGACTCTTTGCTTGTCCACGGTGTCATTGTGGACAAGGACTTCTCTCACCCCCAGATGCCCGACGAAGTTCGGGATGCCAAACTGGCTATCTTGACCTGTCCCTTTGAGCCCCCCAAGCCCAAGACCAAGCACAAGCTCGATATCACATCCGTGGAGGAATTCAAGAAGCTCCAAGACTACGAGAAGAACAAGTTCACAGAGATGATTCAGCAGCTGAAGGATTCGGGTGCCAACCTGGTAATCTGCCAGTGGGGTTTCGACGATGAAGCCAACCACCTTTTGCTCCAGAATGACTTGCCTGCCGTTCGTTGGGTTGGCGGTCCTGAGATTGAGTTGATCGCCATTGCCACAAACGGCCGTATTGTGCCCCGCTTCGAGGATCTTACATCTGACAAGCTTGGCTCAGCTGGTGTTGTCCGCGAGATGAGCTTTGGAACTACGAGAGAGAAGATGTTGGTCATCGAGGAGTGCGCCAACACCCGGGCAGTGACGATTTTCGTTCGTGGAAGTAACAAAATGGTGAGTCAATCCCTACACCATATGTACTGCGATGTGCCGGTAGCTAACCTCACCTACAGATCATCGATGAGGCCAAGCGGTCATTACACGATGCTCTGTGTGTTGTCCGCAATTTGGTGCGCGACAACCGTGTGGTCTACGGTGGTGGTGCTGCTGAGATTGCTTGCTCCATCGCCGTTGAGGACGCCGCTGTCAAGAGCCCCGGCATTGAGCAATATGCCATGCGCGCTTTCGCTGATGCGCTGGATGCCGTCCCCTTGGCTCTTTCCGAGAACTCTGGCTTGAGCCCCATTGAGACCCTTGCCTCTATCAAGTCTCGCCAGGTCAAGGAGAAGAACACTCGTCTCGGTGTTGACTGCATGATGACTGGCACCAACGGTACGCCTCTAGAAACCCATTCCCTACTCAGGCCTGTTCATCGACTAATTGAGCTCTGTAGATATGCGTGAGCACTTCGCTATTGACCCCCTGATCGGCAAGCGCCAGCAACTTCTGCTTGCTACCCAGCTGTGCCGTATGGTTCTTAAGGTACTGCTCTCATTCTTCATTCCCATTGCGCTCGATGTTAACCTTTGATCAGATCAACAATGTCATTATCTCCGGTGATGATCAGTCCGAGTTCTAGGTCACCCCATTCTAGTCCTATTCCACGATGGTAAAAGAAAAAAAAACTGATGATTCTGGTTTGCTTGCTATGTAAAAACATGGTCAATTACATAGAACCCTTTTAGTTTCAATAAAAACGAGAGGATTGATAATGTCTCAATCTGGGCACTGCCTTTAGCCTCGCTCATGAGATGAGGATTCGGATATACGACAACTTAGTATTTATGTTGATGTCAATAACCATACGATAGCCCAAAACGGCATCTAATTCCCTACAACTATATGAGCGCCACGCACATACACCGGAGAACCAACCAGACACCTGTTGGTACAACATACTCGTCTTACCCATGATTCCCAAACATCCAAAGTTCCCAATTCGGCCTCACCATTTCTGCCTTTGAACAGCACGACGTCAACCGGAAATCCTTGCCAAAGCCACAGCAAGCGCGAAATACATACCATTACTGCATGTAAAAACAACAAGCGTAGACGGCCGCTTCTGCGGTCTTATGATGTCTTTCTTACAGGGCTTTTTCGTGGTCTTTTCAGTGGTCTTCCAATAGCCTTCACAGTGGGCTTCCCATTTTTTCTTGGATATCTATAAATAGTTTCCCCCTTTCCAGTCTAATCAAGGCGGCAGAAAAAGGCGGAAAGAGCATACTCTGTGCAAGCGACTTTTCTATGTATAACTTCTGATCTAAGCCATTCCACTCAACATTCCCACACCACCAGACAGTTTCATTTTCGTGGGAGATCCGTGCCTCCATTCGGGATTGTGTGGGATTGCCTGTGTTCACGAGGGTCACCCGATATGCCGAGGAACAACGCACCCAAAAGAAGACAGACGCACCACCGCAACATCAACTGACAAATTTGGCTTTTCGGAGTCTGGCTTCCGTTTACCTCGGAGCGCATCTGTGGGGGTGGCTGCGTTTCTGTCATTTCTTCTCTCATAAGGTCTAGATTAATGGACGAATGGAACTAGGTAGCCGGTGACATTTCCTATCATGGGGGACTACGCTGCCTTGTTACCCGGATACGAGTGTGGAATCTTGATATTTAGAATCGGCATTCAGGAAGCGATATATACTTTTTTTTAGATGGCACCTGAAGCCTTACATGCAAGGTTAGGTCATGATGTTCTATCAAATGGACGATGCGTTGGCTTCTTCATTCTCGTCATTCTGTTTCTTCATCCCCCCCCTCAGGATATTATTCGGGATTATCCTCCGATTTGTTTTCTTTTTTCCCGAAGAAATCGTCGCAGGGCGAAGATCAGTCGTCTCTGCACAATATAGAGACCCCACACTCTAGGTAATTTGTACGACGAACAGATGCCGATATCAACAGGAAATAGTAACGATCTACACTATTCATACCCGGAGTGACGTTTCAGTACTCTTTATACATATTCAGAACCATCTCGTTATCCCAAATGTGTTGGGTTGGGTTTTGTTGTATCGATCGTCGTGACCCCAGAAAACTACCTCGGGCAACAAAGTATCGGCCTATAGGACTATCTGGAATTGTGGATTGAACATGAACTCGATAATGCCCATATCTCAGGCAATTATCAGAGCGTTCTTCGCTAGGACGCCTGGATCGGAATTTTGTGGTCAAGGCCGCGTACTAAGTCTCAGTTTTCGTGAGATATATTTCTAGCTCTGCAAAGATGTAACCATCACGAAAAAGACATTATCATTTTCAGGACCTTCCAACCCGTAGATCTAAAGATAGCACCTTGGTCTCTTTCCCCATCTTCCCTTGAATGGGCGTGATAGAGCTTTGAGCTTTGTGCAGGGATTTTGGTGTTGATTGCAGGGTTTCACAAATGCATGGAGGTACGACCCCAGTTCCCCGCGACTCGTGGACCACAAGATTCAGAATTCTGCTATTTACTACAGCTTGACTGAAGGCGAGTACGGCAGGGTTTGGGATCTATAAATATCTCTGTATATGTAGTCTTCTAAGCTCCAGGCATACATAGTGGTATCAGAGGTTCCCTACTAACAGGATTAGGGGCTATTAGCCATCATATTCTGAAAGCCTACTAGAAAGGACCTCAGAAAGGACCGATAGAAAGATGATAACAAAGTGGTTCTTACAGTAGCGCTAGACTTTCTCTATGGAATGTACGAGGGATTTACATATTATAGGGGTTCTAGAGTGGCATATATCGAGTCCATAAAACAATCGCTATAAAGTAGAGAAAGGATCTGTATAAGGGCTTGTACATAGATTGGCACGATGGACCCCCGAGCCTGCTGTAGGTGAGACAGGCCTAGACTAGTTCTTTCTCTCTGTTTCTTCTCACGTGTAGTTGTTGATACTGGGAGCGTTGGTACATTGGAAGCTGACTAGCATGATCTGAAGTGCCCACGACATGTCTACCTTGTACGTTCGAGTTCACATTTACGGGCAGTCAAATGGCGGTCAAATTGACTGG